AAGGGTGACCGGTCGACCGGACCGGTCAACCGGTGGGGAAAAATTCCAGGCCAACAATGGCCGATTTGCGAGGAACAAAGCCAAAACCTGTAATTTTGGGTCCATTCTCGACATATTCTCAAGGGAAATGTATAGATCCAGTTTCAAATCAACAAATGGGGTCCAAAGAATCGAAAATCCCCAATTTTCATGAAGGTTTCACCAAATCCCATTAGAATTCCATTCGAAAACAAAATTTAAACTAAAAATCACCAAACTCGACTAAAACGAGTTCCACAAAGCTAAATCCGAAAATCTAAAGTAAGTTTCAAAGAGTTTTACCTCGATCCAAGCTTTGATGTTGAAAATCTCTTAGAAATCCCCATTTTTCTTCAAATCCGGTTCAAGAACATTCTTGAGAAAGAGGTAAAACTTGAAAGAAAGAGTGAGGAAGAGATGGGCGAGAGAGAGAGAGAGAGCTCGGTGAGGGAGAGAGGGGGAGACTAAGAGAGAGTGTGAGTGAGTGAGAGGGTTACAGGAGAGGAGGGAAGAGGAAAAGAAAGAAAGAAAAGAAAAGAAGAAAAGGAAAATAAAATGAGGGAAAGAAATAATAAAGAAAGACAAATAAAAGTAAAGAGGGGTGAAACTGTAATTACCTAAAAATAAATTTAAAAGTTCATGATTAATTAAAAAATCAATTTAGGCACACTAATATACCACAATTATCATAAATAAACAAGTTTAATTTCGGAGGGCGTTACATCCTACCCCCCTTAAGAAATTTCGTCCCTGAAATTGAAATCTACCTCACGATATGAATAGATACGGATATCCTTCCTGCATCGTCGTTTCCAATTCCCACGTTCCTTTCTCAACGCCATGGTGTTGCCACAACACCTTCACCAACAGTATCTCACGTCGACGTAGGCTCTTCATCTTCCAGTCAAGAATCTGTACGGGTGCTTCCTCGTAAGTTGTGTCATATTGGATCGGTACGTCATACCATTGCATAATGGCTTCTGGATTGGGTTGACACTTCCGAAGCATAGAAACATGGAACACATTGTGCACGTGAGACAATTCTGGAGGAAGATCGAGGCGGTAAGCAACGACACCGACTCGTTGGGTGATCTAAAATGGCCCGATGTACCTCAGCGCGAGTTTCTCTTTCACACCAAAATGAGTAACTCCTTTGCGCGGTGAGACTTTTAACAAGACAAAATCGCCGTCTGAGAACTCTAAGGGTCTACGTCTTCTGTCAGCATAACTCTTCTGACGACTCTGAGCCGTTAACAATCGTTCCCAGAGCACGACTATCTTTTCATTATTCTCCTGGATAACATCCGGTCCAAAGGTCAGTCGATCTTCTGACTCAAGCCAACAAATTGGCGATCTACAAGGTCTACCATACAACGCTTCGAATGGGGCCATCCCAATGCTACTCTGATAACTGTTGTTGTAGGCGAACTCAGCTAAATGAAGATACTTCTTCCAGTTTCCACCAAAATCTAGAATGCCTGCACGAAGCATGTCCTCCAAAATCTGAATAACTTTCTCAGATTGTCCGTCGGTCTGAGGATGAAATGCAGTGCTGAAATTCAGTTCGGTTCCCATGGCTTCTTGGAAACTTCTCCAATATCTAGCGTTGAAATGAGTGTCACGATCTGATGTGATAGACAAGGGAACTCCGTGAAGTCTGACAACGTGCTCTAGATACAACTCTGCTAGAACTTTCTGGGAATAAGTCGCACGAAAGGGAATGAAGTGCGCGGACTTCGTTAACCTATCCACAACGACCCATATGGCATCATGTTGATGTTCAGTCCTTGGCAACCCCATCAGAAAATCCATCGTAATGTGTTCCCACTTCTATCCAGGAACAGGAAGAGGCTGCAGTTCTCTAGCAGGTTTTTGATGTTCAGCCTTGACTCGAAGACAAGTCGCACATTCTGACACGTATTGGCGAACATCCTTCTTTATACCTCTCCACCAATACTGCCTTTTGAGGTCTTGATACATCTTGATACTCCCAGGGTGAATAGCGAACCTCGATTTGTGGGCCTCGTGAAGGATTGTCTTCTTTATCTCATCCACTTGAGGAATGGCTTGGAGAACGTATTCTCTGATCGCTGTTTAGTGTGAGTTGGAACTCCAATTATGGGAGAAGATTCTCTCATAGATTCTCCCATTTCTCCATGGGTATGTTGATCATTAGACCTTATGGAAGTAGCCATTAACAGTCGTGTGATGTCCATGGTTGATTTTGCAGATTCTTTTGAGTTGGTTTCTGCTTCAGATGAACTGTATGATGTCTGAGATGGTTCTATGTTTGATTCTAAGATTGAGGTTGTCTCTATTTTTGAGGAGAGAGCTATGCAAGCAGGAGGATCCTGCACATCAGAAATTTTAAGCCTAAGATCATTGCTACGATCTCCATAATTATAAAGGATTAAGTACCTGTAGCACTAAGCCAACAGTCGAGGTAGCAGCCCGGTCCAATCCAAAGATAGTCATGTCAACTTAAGGGAAGATGCACTGTACTAACTACTATTGTCGAAGTCAGGAAATCAGGTAGCTGGTAAGGGTGGTTAGCCTGACCTGGAAGTAGAAATCATGAAAATACAACTGCCAAATCTCATAATTAAGGGATAGAGGATGATCTCCTCGGGAAATGCAGAGGGGGTTTCTCATGTGTACAAGGCCTATAAATAGAGCCATGGGAATTCATTAAGTTTTTTTTACGCACTACTCTACTACTCTAGAGAAATTATAATCAACAGAGTATTAGTGCATTCACAAGTGGATTAGGCCAAGAAATCTTGCTGAACCACTGTAAATTCTTGTCTTCTCTATATTAATCTGTAGCATTAATCGTTAATCAATCCGTGAGAGGTTACTGTGAGTGTTCTCTGAGAGTTAATCCTTAGTTGACAGAAATCCACTGTTAACAATTGGTGCTAAAATGAGGGTGTAAACCCAAGAAATCAATCCAGCAATAAGTAGTGAATATGGCTCTAAGAAAGACCCGCAGCATGACGGCAACTCAGAAAAGCCAAGAAGGCTAGAATTCTGCCATCGGAGGAAGGAATCTAACGAATCCACCCAACGACGGCCAGGAACCAACGGGACTACGGTCCAACCACAGGGCGCAACCACAAGCCGCTGGAAACCCCCCAAACTGCCTTGACCAGCTCTAAAGGCTAGTCGAAACACTTGCTGTGGCCATAGAAAGGATGGCCACAGCCCTCGCCGAACGGGAACAAAGGCCAGATTCGATGCTGCCCTTAGAGGATTTGCCGATGAACCCGGTGAATGTCGCCATCGGGAACCAAGTAATTGGTGACCGACGCGGTGACGCCGAGGGGGTAAGTGACAACGAGGGCAACAACCCCCACCCAGCTAAGTCGAATAGATCTGTGGGGAGCAGGCACTGAGCTGCCAGGATGAGAGCCCAGGAGAGGGCTGCGGCCCGGACAACAAATGACTGAGAGGTACCTCCTCGACCGCAGGAGAATGTGAACCAGAGGAACGCGATCCCGGTAGAATCTTTGTTCATGTGCGGAGGAGACCTGAGGGAACGGCTGAACGCTTGATGCGACCGAGATGTGCAACGAACCAAGGAAGAAGAGGGCGCGCCCGAGAATAAAGCTCTGGCCGAGAAGATGGCTAGACTAGAAAAGCAAATAGAGAGTCAGGTGAACAACTTCGAGCAAGTCATGGGGAAGGTGGTTGAGGCCATGAATGTCGACACCAAGATGTCTATGTCCCACGACCACCCATTCACAGAAAACATCATCCAGGTGCCATTGCCCAATAAGTACAAACCGCCACCTATTCCACTATATGATGGAATGAGTGACCCGGACGACCACCTGAAAGTCTACATGGGGCACATGGTCCTACACGGATACCCCGAGGAGGTCATGTGTCGTGCGTTCAGAAATCATCTTTCTGACTCCGCTAGGAGATGGTTTAAGTCCTTAAAACTGAACTCCATAACCAGCTGGGATGACTTAAAGAACGCCTTCCTAACTCAGTTCATAGGTGTCAAAAAGTACATCCCACCAAAGCAAAACCTTTCAAGGGTATATCAAGGACCAAACGAGTCCCCAAAAGATTGGATAGCTCGGTTCGGGGAACAGGTGGCCGCCACCGAGGGGATCTCCGATGAGGTAGCTTTGATGGGGGCCCTGTCAAGCATGAAAAATGACATCCCGTACAGCACGGACCTCGACCGGAGACCGCCCCAGACCTACCAAGAATTCCTGGCGAGGGCCCACGGATTCATTAATCCATAGGACGCCAAAAAGGCCTTAAAAAGCAAGGTGGTGGCTCCCAGCAAAGAAGAAGTGGGATAACCGAGCCACCAAAACAACGGCAAGAAGCGCCGAGGTAATCCTCAGGTGCAAACTGAACAAAGAAATAACCCGACCCCAAACAACATAGGTGACAACGCCCCGGCGGGGCAGGGGGATACCAAACGAGCGAAGCCTCAAAAGTACGACGCTTACACCCTTTTAACCATGGGGATCGAGGACGTCTATCACGAGATCAGTCACCTCCAGGTACTACGTCGCCCCCCGCCGCTGAAGTCTGACCTAGCGCGGAGAGACCAAAACTAGTACTGCAGGTTTCACGGCGAGAGGGGACACACGACCACCGAATGTTTCGACCTAAGGGATGAGGTCGAGAGGTTGATCCGGGAAGGGAGGCTCAGTGAGTACTGAGTCGACTGACAGGGCAACAACAATTGGAGGAACAACGACTGACGGGAGGACTAAAGGCAAGACTATCGCCCCGAACCTGTCGGCGTAATAAGGACGATCTTCGGAGGGCTGTATCTTGGCGGTACCTCTCGCTGCGCATAGAAAGAGTATGCAAGGGAGGTGAATGACAAGTTCAACCAAAGGATCATGAGTGTGTCCGGTAGGGAGACGAAGGCCGCAAGATTTGAAGAGGCTGAGATAACATTTTCAGAAGTGGACGCAAACGGGGTGCATTTCCCCTAAAATGACGCCCTAATGGTGGAGGCTATGATCGGTAACCACACGGTCTGCCACATTTTAGTGGACAACGACAGCTCGGTGGACATTTTGTATGCCGATTACCTCGACAAGATGGGGATCCCTCGAGCGAGACTGCAGAATAACACGCAACCCCTATACGGTTTCATTGGGGATTGCATCATCCCCGAGGGAATGATAGAATTACTAATGACAATTGGTGACCGACCACACATCTTGATTGTTATGTCACGGTTCTTGGTGGTGAAGGGAGGTGACCAGTACAACGCAGTCATAGGGCGACCGACGTTGAGGGCATTGAAAGCGGTCACATTGATTTATCATCAAATGATGAAATTCCTGACCCCCAGCGGAATCGAAAGAGTGAGGGAAAATCAGTACGAGTCGAGGCTCACATACTCAGAGACGGTCCGCCACTATGCCAAACTAGGGCAGGCGAGAAGAAAGATGAGGATGGTCATGACCAAAACGGAGGAGGTCGACCTAGACTCAAGACTCTCAGACGAGGAGACGGGAACGAGACCGGTCGAAGAATTGATCAAGGTCCTCATTTACGAAAAAGAGCCTACAAGAAAATTGAAGGTAGGCTCAGAGCTTGAAGAACATAGCCAGGAAGGGCTAATAGCATTCCTCAGGAGCAACCCTAATGTGTTTGCTTAGACCCACGAGGACAGGGATGGGATAAGCCCGGACATAATGAGTCACAGGCTCAACATAGATGAGAAGTATCCCCCCAAGAGGCAAAAACGTCGACCAATGAAAGCCGAGAGGTATGAAGCTCTACGGGAAGAGGTCAACAGATTAATAAGAAACAACTTCATCCGATAAGTTCTATACCCCGAGCGGGTTTCAAACCCAGTACTAGTGTTAAAACCCAGAAGACGGTGGCAGACCTTTGTCGACTTCAGTGACCTAAACAAAACCTGCCTAAAAGACAGCTTTCCGCTCCCAAGGATAGATCAGCTGGTCGACGCCACAGAAGGGCACGAACTTTTAAGTTTTATGGATGCCTATTCTGGTTATAACCAGATACTGATGTTTCACCGCGACGAAGAGCATACATCGTTCGTTACTGACAGGGGCATGTATTGCTATAAAGTCATGCCCTTTGGCCTTAAAAATGCGGGAGCAACATATCAGCTCCTGGTCAACAAGATGTTCGAAGACCAGATAGGTAAAACGATGGAGGTATATGTGGACGATATGCTAGTAAAGAGCAGGAAGTCCGAGGATCATGTGGGAGACCTTCGGGGAATGTTCGACGTCCTGCGGAAGTACATGATGAAGCTGAATCCCCTCAAGTGTGCATTCGGGGTTAAATCGGGAAAATTCATTGGTTTCATGGTGAACAGTCGAGGAATCGAAACTAATCCAGAGAAGGTGCATGTGCTCCTCAACATGAAATCGCTGCAGAAACCAAAAGAAGTCCAGAAGCTGACAGGTTGTATTGCCACACTCAATAAGTTCATTTCAAAATCTACAGATAAGTGTATACCATTCTTTGACACCTTGAAAGGAAGCAAGTTGTTTCAATGGATAGAGGGGTGCGAACACGCGTTCTAACAATTAAAGGAACCCCTTGAGAACCCAGCCATACTATCCAGCCTACGGTAGGAGAGGTGCTGAGCTTGTAGCTGGTGGTCTCCCAACACGCCGTTAGTTCGGTGCTGGTCCGTGAAGAGAAGAAAGTGCAGCTGCCAGTGTATTACACTAGCAAACGTCTCCTCGACGTAAAAATGAGGTATCCACAAGTGGAAAAGCTCGCCCTCGCGCTGGTGGTGACGTCGAGAAAGCTACGCCATTATTTGTAGGCCCATAACATTCAAGTTTTGACAAACCATCCTTTCAGACAGGTACTGCAAAAGCCCGACGCTTTAGGGAGACTCCTTAAGTGGTCCATAGAGCTCAGCCAGTTCGACATTGACTATAAGCCGCGGATAACCATCAAGGGCCAAGCCCTGGCTGACTTTATTACTGAGTTCATGGTGGATGGCACGGCTACACAGTAAAGAAAATGTCAGATCCAAGAGTTAAGTTCTGCTGAGAGATTAGGGGAAGTAAGTTCCAGCTTACCGCTGAGGATATCTGCAGGGGGTTCGACACGCTGGCGCGGAGGGTCGAGGGTAACTACCAGACCGTACAGTTAACGGTTCTCTGGGGTATTGAGAACGGTAGAGCTTCGGCTGGATGCAGAAAGGGACAGAATTTGCTCGACCCGTGTTAGGGCGGCTGAAGAAAGTGTCAGTCGGGTGCAGACTTCACCTACAGAAAAGAGCAACACATGTAAGATAGCTCAAAAAATGGAGGGATGTGACGAAAATTCAACGGAAAGGAGACCTACAGTATTTGCTGAATACTGTCTGCGTCCTTAGGGGACGCTCGTCGTCGAGTGGGTGAGAGTTAAAGTTGCCACCCAGGAAAAAGAACTGGGGCTTCCCCCGTGGCACTGTAACGCCCTCCAGAATTAAACATGTTTAATTATGCTAAACTGTGAGTTATTAGTGTGCCTAATTTGATTTGCATAATTAATTAAGGAACCTTAAATTATTTTCAGTATTTATGAATTCACCCGAAAAGTTTTTGAAAATACACTTAAATTTTAACGCATTTTCATTTTTTTCCATTTTTCTTTTTCTTTTCTTTTACCTTTTTCTTTTTTCTTCCTTTCTTTTTCCCTTCCTTTTCCCTCCCGTGTAGCCCCCCCCCCCCCCCAACCC